ACCCTGGTTGGGGTCGTGTGGGTCCAGTCAATGTGACTCTCTCACATCCATGTTTCTCTCTCTCTCTCTCTCTCTCTCTCTCTTCCTCCCGCTGTAACAAGTGAATTATGAGTGGTGAATGTGATCAATATACTACTGATCTTTCAAAATTTAATGAGGTTCTTGTATGGCATATAATACTATCAATTTTTATAAATATGCTTAAAAGGAATGTTTATTCTCTATTCACTAGGGACAATATTCAACTCATGCTGATATTTCTAAGCATGTCTTTATTTCTTTAAGCATTTTAAAGTTAGTTATTTTATATTGTGTTATTTCCAGTATCTGAAGCTTTGTGGGTCTTCTTCTGCTGTCTGTTTTTTATGCTGCTTCTCTCACTCACGATACATTTTTTACTTAGATGTAATTTAACTTCATGGTTTTTTTTTTTTTTTTTTTCATTTCTAATAATCTATTTCAGATATGCGAAAATACATTTAAAAATATTACAACCATATAGTCTTCATCTAGCTTTGAAAAGAACATAATTAAAGTCCCTTCTGTATACCTTCAAATTTCTCTATATTCCCTCAAAGATAATCAATACCTTAAATTTATGTTTATAATTTCTATACATGTCTTTATACTTTTATTTCCCATCATTTCCAACCACCTGCTCCCTTGTCATCCTCTACTTCAGAGGCTATAACTCTAAGTACTTGACACTTTGCCTGTCTTGAAGATCTGAAAGGCCATAGACACAGTCAAAACAGATGAAGTATAGTTACAAGTCTCTGGTAGGGTGAACTTTCCCAAATGAAAAGGTAAAGATTTGCTATAGACAACATATTTTGCCCTTCATAATTTTTTCTTTCCATTTTTTCAACTGGGAACATAGATGTGAGACTGAGGTCACTATCTTGTCACAGTAGGCGACAAAAATGAAGAAGAGGTCTATGCTTCTTCATGGCAGAACTGAAAGATGGAAATAGCCTGATAGCATTGCTGGACTACTGCACAAGGTTAGGACTGCCTGCCTCAGACCCCTATTTGCATGAGACGAAGACTGCATTGTACATAATCTCAGATGCTACTGATTGTAAAACACATCATTATTCTATGTACCATTAAGAAGAAAATAAAATGCTGACAATTATACAATAACATAATGTTTTCTCTTCATATCAATTGTAAATGACTACAGGTAATAAATTTCAAAAACGTGTTTCTAAGTCAGTGAAATATTTTAAAAATACTTCTTTTAAACCACAATTAGTTGAGGTTTCAAACACTTGCAGCTGAACAGTTTCCCAATAGATACCATTTGATAATAAATAGACATTTAGACAGAAATTAATATGTCTGAAAGTAGAGCAGGAAGAAGACCAGGGTTTGCTAAGGAAGCTGCTCTTTGCTCTAAGTCAGCAATCCAAGATGCTGAGTCCGGAGATCTGCCAGCGTGTTGTGTCAGACCCAAGGCTTTTTATTGGCAGGCTTATTTCTTGCCCTTTTCTGGTCTGGGCTGTAATGCTCCAGGCTATGTTCCCGGCCTCTGGGTGAACTAGGTCCAGCTGAGTTCGCCAGTGAGATGCATTGCCTGCAGAGTGGGAAAAGACAGGAAGGGTGCATTGTCCTCCTTCTCCTTATTCTCTGTCTTTAGTGGCATCTCCATTAGCAATGAAAACTCACTGGATCAGGCTCCTACCAGCCAGACCAGCCAGTGTTGTTGATCTGACCTCTTGTCTTACTGTCCTTTCACCCTGGGAGTAGTAGTGGCTTCCTGCTTCTGCTCCTCTCAGGATGGCCTCACAAACCCCTTTTTGGCCTCTCAGCTCACTCATCACCTATGTAACCAATTCCTTGCATTCAAATCTCCCTGACACTTGGACTATTTGAAGTGGTTTTGTTTCCCCGAGTAGAAATCAGTGATACTTTTTGAAAAGTTGAATTTTCAATTGTATGCTAAAGTTATTGCACACTAAGTCAAATAGATGGGAATCCTAGCAGGAGATATTATTGGGACTTGAGAAAAGTCTGATTCTCTGGGCTTTTCCCCAACATCTAATCATAACACAGAGGAGGGGTGATTATTCTCTTTTATTCTCTTTGTAAAATGTAGCTGCATGCAGCCTGAGAAAAGAGAGAAATTGTGTGTGTGTGTGTGTGTGTGTGTGTGTGTGTGTGGTTTATTTATTTATTTTGCCCTGGCCAATGTGGCTCAGTTGGTTGGAGTGTTATCCTGTACACCAAAAGGCTGTGGGTTTAATTCCCAGCTGGGTCACATACCTAGGTTGCAGATTTGACTTCCTGTCGGGGTATGTACAGGAGGCAACTGATAGATGTTTCTCTTGCTCTCTTTCTCTCTCTCCCTTCCCTTTTTTCTAAAATCAATAAGCATGTCCTTGGGTGAGGAGTAAAAAAAAAAAAAGGAGGGAATTTTTTAATACTCCTCCCCCGGCCATTGGTTTGAATGTTCAGAGGCAGAATAATATCTCTCTCTCTCTCTCTCTCCCTCCTTACTCCCTCTTTTCCTCCCTCCCTTTCTTTCTGATAATAGCAACTTGATTTTCCTTTGATAAATCACTTCTTTCCCACTCTTAGTTCATATGGTTTGGTGGTATTAACACTACCTCTGCCTCTAGGGATAGGCATTTGATTCAGGCCTAGCCAAACAGAACACTGTACCTCCCTCACCAAAATTATATCCAGGATGGGCACGTGCCCTAATCAAATACTGTGAGAGGCAAAGTTGTACCTTTGGAAAGGGAAGCATTCACTATTGTCCATGCTGGACTTGGGGTTGGGAGGATGTCAGTGTGGTGCTTCCAGCAACCAGGTTGTCACCATGAGAAGGGCCATGAGAGCGCAGCCAAGACACAGAAAAGCAACGGTGAGAGACAGAAAAGAACCAATTCTTGGTGACATTGCTGACCTCTGGATTCAGCTGTGCCAAAACCCACAACTAGCTCCTAAACATATGAACTATATTCACAAGTAAATTCTTTTCTCTAGGCCTATTTGAGATGTTTTCTTTCCTTCCTTCTTTCTCTCTTCCTCCTTTTGCTGAAAGTACCCTATAAAAAGCTTCTATATATTTATACAGTCTTTTATATATTACTCTTTCTCTCTCCCTCCATTTTGCTGAAAAATCCCTAAGTATTATAAAAAGCATCAGTATATTCATGCACACCCTGGAGCTAAAGATGATTTAAATTTGGTAAAAAGGAAACTTAAAATACTATTTATATAAACAAACAAAAGCTCCCTTTTCATAATACTACATGCTGATCAGGGACAACAGCATTTAGTTTTAAAAATCTATGGTCAATATGTTTTCTTAATTCTCATGATATGTTTTAGTTATGTTATTGTTGCCAATGAAGTTGATAGTAAGGCCATACGTGTACTTTGTCTATTATAGAAATTTAGGAAGCATATTTAAAAGATGCTGTATTATCACTTACAATTCAGAAAAGTTTTTTAATGTATAACCAACGGAATACATTAATGAAAGTATTAATTTTCTTCTCCCCAGTAGGCAAATATTTTCTTTATGAAATTATATGATCTCACAGGGAAATGACTATTTAATATCACATTCAAGCTTTTGCTCTTCAGGACTTGATATGTATTAAGTCAGTGGGCACCTAAATCAGCATTCTTTTTCTGTCTAAATCTACTTCTGTCTAAATCTACTTCTGGCTTATCTATGATGAAATCTCATTTTCATATGATTTAATTTTTATGGAAATGGCTGCTTTGTAAAATAAAATTGACTGCTGCCCTGGCCAGGTGGCATACATCAACAAAATTGTGGGTTCGATTCCAGGTCAGGCACATATCTGGGTTTTGGGTTGGATCCCCTATCGATGTTTCTCTCTCACATTGATGTTTCTCTCTCTCTCCCTTCCTCTCTCTAAACATATCCTTGAGTGAGGATGAAAAAAAAATGGACTGCCAATATAAAAGGTTAAGTGAACAGTGATTTCTTTATTTTAAATATGATGCTATTGAGTCTTTTTGGTTAATTTTTCACTTAGCTTTGGAAAAAAATCAATTGCAGAGTATTAGAGTTGGAGAGAAATGTAGAGCTATTTCAGCCCCAAACCGTCATTTTTGGGTGAGGAAACACAGTTATAGAGATATAAAATGGAAATAGTGGAGAAAGCATTTATAGATTTGAACTGCCTTTGGCAACCACTGAGTGGGAAGAAACCGAGCTGTTCTCTCTCTCTTATTTATTTATTTTTTTTGCATTTTCTTTTACTTTCTCAGGTCTACTTCCATGGGTACAAGATGGGATTCATAGATAATTTTAGAATTACATATTTCTTTCTCTTTATTAGTATGTATTTATTGATGTTGATTTCATTTGTTTACTATCCAAACTTCCAGTCATTAGACAGGAACTATATAAAATGTCAATTTTCATTATTGCTCTATTAATAATGCTAATTAGAAGGATACTGTCACCCATCTCTTTGGCAGAGGGGAAAGGGACAATGGGACCCTGACAATATATTTCAACAGGAGAGCAAGAACATTTGGTTAGAATGGTTCCCCTTGCTTCCTACAAAGCCCCATCTTTTTTCAACCTCTTTACCTGTCAAGAAGAACTGTAACTATGCACAGTGAGGCTGTGTTTACTTGGCTGTGTTCGCTCAGCCTGTCTGACCTCATGCTACACTGCAGGCCACACAGAGGCCCACTGTGCCTGAGAATTAGGCAGTTTTTCTCCAGTATTTAGTAGGTGCTGTGTATATGGGATCATAATGATCTAAAGGACACTGAAATGAGACGAGTTAACATTTCACTAGTGTTAGAAACGTCCAGAGAATAAATGTGCCCATCACCAGAATTTTCTGTGATGCAGCAACAACATTGTTGGTGCTTGAAATTATGATTTCATACAAGAGAACCACTTTTGAATGTTTAAAAACTACTTTTTAACACATAAAATGACACGCAATACAAAATACTTGTTTTACATGTTGATATCTTTACAGTTATGGGTACAGTTACAGTAATGCAAGTAATATTAGTGCATTCACGTAGAGCAGAGTTATTTATCTTCATTGGGCTCAACACACAGCCGAAAATGAATTATTTGCGTATATTGCTTTCTAAGTCTTTGAATTAAAAAAGAAAAATTACTTCTATCTCCTTTAAAATATTGTCAGAATGAGAAGCAATGCCAACAATGACGTAGTCTGGTATTTCTATAAATGAGATATCGTATTCCAATAGGTTTTTAAGTTGTAAATTGTAAAGTTTTGGCTACATATGTCTATCAAATTGTCATTATCTCAGCTTTCAGGAAAATTACGTCATCTTTGGTAGTAGGCTGCCAACAAACAGAAACTATAGACTACACCATTTTTTTTTCCCAAAGAATCCTGTATTTTAATGAATAGCTGAATAAATAGACATTAATTATAAAATTCACATTAAGATAGAAGAAAATCCAAACATTCTGATTGCTTTATCTCTTAAATTTGATAGCTACTACAAAACATACTATTTATGTTAGGGTAAAAATAAGCTGAGTCAGGGGAGTGTAACTGGGAAGTGCTGGCAGATATATACAGTAAGATGGAGGAACCATCAAATAAAAGTGTTTCTATGTACATAACTTTTCCTTACATTTTTGCATGGAGAAACACTGTTCTATAAAATGGGAAAACACACAGTAGACCACATGCAACAAGGACCAATACAATGTGCACAGCAGAAGAATCAAACAAGACACAAGACCTATGGGTTTAAAAAAGAATTTCGGAGCAAAACAATAAAAATAAAAAGGTAAGGATTGAAACCTGGAATGCTTTCTTATTGAGGTTTCAGAATATAAATTTGTCTAACAAGCCTCTTGATAGTTTTTAAAAGTTCCCACTTGACCACCTATGGATTAAGTGTAGAGCTAAAAATAAACCATCATATTATACAAAACTTTGTATATTAGCATACAAAAGGTAACAATTTACTTTTTGTATAAAATATAACCTTTTGATAGTATATTTATTTCACATAAGTATAAATATAACCCAAAGAATATGTTTTAAGTATTTCTACCAAAATATTCTTTACAAAAGTTTACAAAACAAGAAATTCATTTATATTTACAACCTAGCACAGAAAGGATTCTGGGCCACTGATGTTGGTGTTGTGTAACAGAGAGTGCTTCTAGACATTTTAAAGATTGGGAGAGGGTTTCGTAGAACTTTCAAAATGTATTCTTTTTCAGAATAGATATTTAAAGATTTAGTTATTAAATGACTTCAGTTGAATAACATTTGATTATTGAATATGTGAGTACATAACTAAAAAAGCGGAAGCTGATCTGTGTTCCTCTGTAATGAGGAAGATGACAGTGATATTTTGCATCCATCTCAAATCAGCACACATCTTCTCCATTTTACAGCTGATCTGTGTGTGGGCACTGAGGTTACATGACTCAACAGAAACTCTTTCTTTGATACAGTGTTGAACCCTGAGGGAAAAACCCTGGATATGAAGGGTCCATCTAGCATGTGGCAATGATTCATCACATCAGGGACAGAAGAATGAACAGACTGCTACTAACAGATCACACTCCATTTAGCTGTGTGCCCACATAATATGTCCAAATAAGGACAGATTATTTTCTCTCTCAATTATGCTTCCCTTCAAACCCTATGAAATAGACTTGTACCCCCATACCTGCCATCCCTGGTCTGATCTTTTGCTTCTTATCTTCAACCCAAACACGGTATCTTCCAATCTCAGTTTTGACCTCAAAACTTCCTTTTTTTTTAATAAATCAGTCTCTAGTCATCAAAATAATCAGGGAGGACCAGACTTGATTTCATTCAGCTTGGGAGTTAACTAGCAGGACCATTTCAATGAGCAACACCCCAGGTTATTTGTGGCCAAACAAATCTCCTTTATAGCAATGCCCATGGGGTGCTTTCTTTTTTAAAACAGTGAAATCTGATGTCAACACATGTGCACTAATACTTCAGTATGATTCCGACTGGTCGTGATTGTATCTAAGACTTGGAAACGGATTCAGAAATTGGTTGTGGAAGCCCAAATAGAGTTGGACAGCTGTGTATTCATGTTTCAAGGTTTCCACACAGCATCTCACTGAAATACAAGATAGTTGGGAAAACTGAAAAAGTGAGGGGTGAATCTGGGGAAGATATTCCACAGTTCACGGGGTGTTCTCTAGTTCTCTGTCTATTCTTTACTTAGGACAATGTTTGGCTACTCCAAAGAAACTTATAACATTTCAATCTAGGAAGTTTTAGGACAACTAAATGAACAGATAAAGTGGAAAGATTAAACCATACTTATATCATTAGAGCAAATTAAGGAACATGTCACTTGTTGCTTGGAACGAATGCCTCCGCATGACATGGGATTTCAACAAGCTACAAGTTGTATTACTTCTCTTTCAGGGAGAAAAGGAGCTTGGGAAGCCTATTTTACACAGCTAATTACACATCAACATCACAGTTCTGTTTGGATAAATCGGATACTGTGTCCTGGAGTTTAGACGGGGAAAGGTGATCCCAATGTTTTATTTTCCGGTTTGAGATTTCAAACAAGCGTTTGGACCAAAATGTTCACCACCACGGTCACTATTGCTCTCCATTTTTAGGCCATGGTATCTTCATGTAGCTCAACTAAAAGTCAACAGTTGGCCTTTCCAGAGTCCTGGTGAAATACTGCCTTTTAGTGCTTGGAGATGGTGAGTTTTCTCCCTTGGCTCCTTTAGGAGTTGTTCCCCAAGATCTCATCAAGGTTGATGTCTTTCATCCAGTCATCATTACCAGGCTCTGTCTTCAATAAAGAATCGATGAAATCAGCATCACTGTTTAGGGCAGGGCCCATGTTATCAGTCTGTTGGCTGAGAAAGTCAAAAGCTAAGTCACTGCCATGGTCAGTTCCTTGAAAAGCCCTGGAACTTTGGTTGGGTGAAGGAAAATTGCCAGGTGTCAGAGATGGTGGCTGGCTTATGCCTGTCCTTGACTGACTCAACCCTGTTCCTGACTGGTTCAAATTAGGCAAAACCTGTGTGCTCAGCTGATTGGGTCTGAGATTCAGACTTCTAAGTGGACCCATGGTTTGTCCATTCAGTGTCTGGCCCATTTGGTTCATAGGTCTCATTTGCACTGCTGGTGTTATCTGATTAGGAGGAGCCACTGACCTCTGGGAAAATTGTTGGCTCCCTACTGCCTGTTGCAATGACTGATTTGGGGTATAGGCTGCAGGTGTACCTGTGGGAAAGCGGACTCCTGTGGACTTCATGGCTTCCTGCTGTTTCGTTGTTGCTTCTTGGGAGGCCCAGTTTGGTGCTGTTGTGTTGGATGTGATCATTACGTTTGATGTTCTCTGAGATGGCATGCTTGCCATAGTATGAGTTAAATTTGGTCTCAGTTGTTGTGAATTGCCAACAGGTCCAGCTGCAAAAGTGGCCACATTATTGTTACTACTTGGCCCTAAGGTAGGAGGCCGCGGCATTAGAGGGTTGTTTTGATTTGCTATCAGTTGGTTTGGGTTTCTCTGTTGGGTCAGTTGATTCATTCCTGACGTGACGTTGTATGTGCCAGGTTGATTGCAAGGCAAATTTCCATACATCCCCATGTTCTGAACTGCTGTGGATAATGCTGGCATTCTTGTTCCATGGGAAGTAGACATGAGGCTGGAATTTGGAGTTAAAATGGCGTGTGTTGAAACTGGGTTTGCCAAAGTCTGGTTAGAGTTTAAACTCACTGTTGATGAGCCACCTGAGGAAAAGAAGACAATTCTATTAATTCACAGCAGTAGGTTATCTCTTTTTGTAGAACTTTGCAATAACTTATCAAGACCAAACCTATGGCCTTGAAAATTATGTCCAATTTTTCATCTGCATCATCCCTATTCAAGAAGCTATCATGATTGGCTCCCAGGTCCAAAGGATAAAGTTCTATCTTTTTAAACATCTGGAATTCAATGTAATCAGTGCTCCAGTGATTATTTCCATATGGAAAGCCTTCTGCTCCAGGTGGTACAGTTAGTATTGCATTGTTATCCCTACACCATGAGTTACCTTTGCTCATGCCTTTTCCCTCTCATTGATGCCCTTCTTGCCTCACCGAGCCCTGTCTTTTCTTTAAGGCTCAGACCAAGGACCTTCTTTAAACATTCCCTGACATTCCAGCCTCCTCTCTCCAGCATTTGCTCTTTAAAGTTTTTCGTTTCAGCACTTAGCCTTTGTATTGGGAAATCCATGGAGCCTCAAAGGGCCTGCCGACTACATTGATGCTTGTCAATAGTGATTGGATGTGGGACCAGCCAATGATGGGCTGCTGAACAGAGAGGCTCCACATAGCAGATAGCGATTAATCAACACATTGCAATTTTTCTGGCTTAGGGAGATTAAAGTCACCATGGAAAGACATCTTGAGAAGCAAAAGTGAGATGTGAGAAACATTATTTTTAAAAAGTGCATGCTGGATGATAAGCTCCACAAAGGAAGAATTTTTGCCTGCTTTGTTCACTGTTATATTCTCCAAGTCTAGTGAATGGTGCAAAGTAGGTATTCATTTGCTATCTTTTGAATGAACGAATGAGTAAGTAAATGAGAGATTGAAGCAAAGATGTAACTTGGAGAAAGATACTCTTTTGAAGCACTCTCCCTCCAGAGAATCAGAGATACTGAGAAAGAGAGACCTGGACACACATCTAAATATCCAAATGGCAGTGTATGAGGAGGGCATGGCTGCCACTGTAACCCGAGGACGTCCACTACTGCTTGAGGATAGGCAGTGTGGTACACAACCCGAGAGACTGAAGGCCTTGCTATTTGTTTTAAAATATGCCTGCAACTAGATGATATACCCCTTGGAGGCGGGAGCAGTGACTTGTATCTCTAGGCTTTGCACGGGGCCCCACACTGTGTAGGGCAATAAGTGTCCAATGAAGAAGGATCAGAGTCAGGGAGGAGATACTTTAACAGTAACTCAGAGTTCACAGACTGCTAACAACACTAAGCAACATCACCTTGGTATCTGCACGTTTCATGAGAAGGGCCTTCATACTATGAAAATGCTACAGGGAAAAATTTAGAGGTTTTAAAAATCATTCCCTCTGGGTGCCCTCTATTTTAACAATATGTCCTGAGGAGGTTTATGAGTAGAGCAGATAGAACAACTAGATAGAATTTCCATAAAGATCACAAAATATTATTCCTAATTACTAATTAGAAGCTCCGAATATGTGGTAGAAATTATTCCAGGTGCCTTTTATACATCACTTTTCATATTAACATCTGGGCAATGTTATTATTGTGTTGAGATTAAGATAAAAATGATAAAGGAGCTGGTGTTGTGCTAGTTTCTTACTTCATTCTCAGAAGACAAGGAAGCACGATGCTCCAGGGCAGAATTCGTACCCATTTGGGGGTCAGAGTGGATGCTGAGGACCCCTACCTTAGGAAATGCCCATATGCACTGTGCAAGAGACTTCTAGGTATCTACGAAATATCTGACTTTCCTGTCTTCCTAAAACAGTTTTGATTTTGTAGTAATGTCCCTAGTTGAAAAACCACATTTCCAAAACTTTCTTGTTGATGGGAGTGTGTGGGGGGGTCCCATATGAACAAATTCTGTTTAAAAGTAGAAGTTAATTTGGTGAGAGTCTAAGGAACCTACATTTCAAAGGGAATCTGGTTCATGATGACTGTAGCATTATTAATAGCCAAGATACGGAAGCAACCTAAGTGTCCATCGATGGATGAATGTATAAAGAAAATGTCGTATAAATATAGGTTTTGGCAAAAGTAGGTTTACAGTTGTTCATATGGAAAATAATATAATAATTAATAAATAATACAAGAATAGCCCTGGCTGGTTTGGTTCAGTGGTTAGAGCGTCGGCCTGTGGTCCAGAGAGACCCGGGTTCGGTTCCCACTAAAGGCATGTACCTCGATTGCAGTTTGTCCCTGGCCCTGGTTGGGTTGTGCGGGTGGCAGCCACTTGATGTATCCCTTTCATGTCGATGTTTTTTTTTTCTCTCTCTCTCTCTCCCTCCCTCCCACTCTATCTAAAAAAATATGGAAAAAATGTCCTCGGGTGAGGATAAAAGAAATAAATAAATAAACTCTGTTTCACGTACTCACAACTGTAAGCCTACTTTTGCTCCATCCTATATATACATATATATATGTATGTATATATACATATGTGTGCGTGTATATGTATATATACACAATGGAATACTACTTAGCCATAAATAAAGATGAAATATTGCCATTTGTGACAACATGGGTAGATCTAAGTGAAATAAGTCAGATGGAAAAGGACAGAAAAATAGGATTTCACTCATATGTAGAATATAAAACAAAAAAGTAACATATGTACTGACAAAACAAAACAAAAACAAACTCATACAATAAACAACAGAATGGTGGTTACCAGAGGGGAAGAGAGTTGGAGGGGATGCGCAAATTGGTTAAAGGGGGTCAAATAATGGTAATGGAAGGAAACCAGACTTTTGATGGTGAGCACACAATCAAGTATATAGCTATTAAATACTGTTGTACTTCTAAAATTCATATAATGTTATTAATCGATTTTACCTCAATACATTAAAAAACTTTTTTTGTAAAAAGGGAATCTAACTTATTTGGGAGGCCATGTAACTCTTCCATTCTTCCAGCCTTCTGTCTGGGTTGTGGCTGAGAAGGCTGGAGGTGTGGTGGACACAGCAACCCTTAGAACTGAAGCTCCATGCTAAAGAAGGTGCAGAAGAAAGACAAAGAAGCTGGGATCCTGATAATGTGGTAGAGTCACCAAACTAGCCTTAGACTACTATCCTTTGGGATTCTTTTATAGAAATGGGAAAAGAAAGCCCAAACATCCACCTTGAATTTTGTGTAATATTTCAAAGTCAGCTTCCCATAAACCCACTTATAGGCCATGGTATGAGGAGCCATGTTCCAAAGAAACCCCATCTTGTCCTTCAATGTTCTTGAGGACAGAATCAGCTAGAAAATCCTGTTTTCATGCCGAGCCAAAGTAATCTAAGAGAGTGGAATACATATATCCCAATCCTAATATTAGTAGAAAGAGGCAATCTGGTGCATTTGAAAAGTTGACAGAAATTAGAACAATGCATTTATAACAGGACCAGAAAATATTAACACACAGGAGTATTCACAGCTCCTCCTTGAGACAATCTTTATGGCTTCCTGAACAGATAAGGGTAAGAAGTAAAGCAGAGAGAACTTGGGAAACTCCAGGACAAGCTTCATCTACAGGGGAAAGTGCAGAGAGTTCTGGGCACAAGGGACTTTAATAGATGGTGAAGGCAGGACCAGCAGAGGGTAGGTTTGGGAGACGTCCTTTTGGAGGGGAGAGAGATTTTAGGGGTAGTGCCTATCACCTATGTTATACTGAGAGATCTAGTAAGAAGTTTTGCTTTGTATTTCAAATACAATCACCTGTGGTATTTTTGAGAGATTTCATGAAAACCTAACTTGCTTTTCAATATTTCTTGGTAGCAGGACTATCTGTGTTTGGCACATGGGCCCAAAGGTGGGGACAAAAAGACTGGGCTTCAAGCAAATTACAAATGTGACCCAGAAAGAAGGGTCACTTACTTTATACTATCTGGGTCAGGATATGTTGTTGGGAGGAGAGCGGTTGAACCTAGTAGTTAGAAATTATTCAAGCTTTTTTGAACTCTAGGAGGTAGTCTGGAGAGCAGTGAAATATGTGAATATAGGACAAGATTAAGCAAAAAATAAAAAAGATGAGAAAATTAAAAATATTCAAGTTTGATCTTTATTTTTTTATATCCTCACTTGAGGACATTTGTGCATTTATCTTCAGATAGAGCAGAAGAGAGAGAGGGAAACATCGATGTGAGAGAGATACATCAAGTGGTTGCCACCCACATGACCCCAACTGGGGCTGGGGACAAACTGCAATCTAGGTATGTGCCCTTAGCAGGAACTGAGGCCGGAAATCTCTGGTCCTCGAGCCGACGCTCTAACCACTGAGCCAAACTGGCCAGGGCTCAAGTTTAGTCTTAATCTCAAAGTTATATGAGAGACAGTGAAGGCGTCTAAGAAAGATGCAACAATTAAGCATGAGATGGGGAAAGGAGGAACTACTAAAACTGAGCAGTTTCTTCTTTGCAGTTACTGCTTCTAAGTTTCGAGAACACTCACCAGAATACGGAGCCGCAGGCTGCATGTTGCCCACGCTTCTTCTTTGGTCTTTGTAATCTGGGGGTGGCCTCGTCAAATGTCGGTTTATCTGATCTTGTGGAGCAAGTTTCTCCTTGAAAACACAGATGAAAACATATTGAATTGCATTGTTACTTTTTCACTTGTAAGAATTTACAGACTGTTATTCAGAAAAGAATATGAGGACAATCCTGCAGCAGAGTTGTGACTCATGGACCTTATTTAGTCGTCGCACTTCAGAGACAAATCCTTTCCATTTCACAAACTTCCCGCATGAAAGTGCAATTTCTGCTTTCTTTAACGTTTGACATGTATTTGGGGTCTAGTAACTACTCTCATTTTCTTTATTTTGCAATTAGATTTCGATGAGGACTACATTTATATGATCTTTGAGATGATAGATCCGGTTTTATTTTGTAACGCACCTGATATGCTTTGGCACCTCTACAGGGTAGGGCAAAAGTAGGTTCACAGTTGTTCATATGAAAAATCATACAATATGTAATGAATAATAACACAAGAACAAACTCTGTGTTTCATGTACTCACAACTAGAAACCTACTTTTACCCCCACTCTGTATATAGGTCTGGTCTCATGAAGTATAGAAGGCATAGGAGTAGGATTTCCAGATAAAATACAGGACATTGGGGCATTCTGTATTTTTATTTACTAAGTCTGCCCACTCTAGGCAGGAGGAGATGTCAGGAGATAACCTATCAGGTACTGGTAGGGGCGCTATATGCGTATTTCTTCATTTTTCCCCTCATAAACAATCCTTGAAGGTAGGTATGATTATTCCCACTTCATCAATGAGGATAAATAACTTGTCTAATATTGAAAAGCGGTAGAATAGAAACCAAATCCTGAGTTAAAAACACAGGCTATTTCCTGCCACACTGTACAAGGGCCCTTTGGGGCTGCTTCTCGGGGCCCCATTCTCAAAGCACAGGCATTTCCCAGTCTCTCTTCTTTTCTTCCTCTGGAATCTCCTAACTTTAGATCTTTAGACTACGTTTCTTTGGGAGCTAAGAGAGGAAACAGGACGTTCTTTTTATGTTGTCAATATGGTTTATTACTGTTGTGGTAGGGGACACTGCACAGGGGGACCATGGGGTGTCTCAGTAGGAGCATGTTAGAAAGAACCTTTATAGGGTTTGGGCTTTGATGGGGTGATTTAGGGAGGGTCTAAGGAAGTGAGGATTTGTTCTGGATTGTAAGATCTCAGAGGTTGATTCTATGATTGAGTAATGAAGTAGCTGTCACTCATCTAGCTAAAGGTGGGGATTTGGGTTTTCTGCGGGTTGAACAGTGACCTTGTTTGTATCTCTTTTTAGACCAAATTATGAAGTGGCCTTATTTAGTTTCATTTTACCATGATCTCAGAGTAACCCTGTCTGAGGTTAGAATTCTGTAACACTGTTTATGTCCAACAGAGAACAAAGTTGCCTAGCTGTAAGTATCCTATCAGTTTTGGACGTCAGGGGCTGCTTTTTGCTTTCTTAGTATGGTATCAGGGGTTTTTAAAAATTGCTTCACTGCACCCCAAAGCAACCTCCATTTTCAAGGATAAAAATAATTGGCATAGGTAGACAGAGAACAATATAATTACCAAAAAGTCAATAAATAGAAAAGAAAGCCTTTTAACAACAAATAAATGGGTAAATTAGATGAAAGCCAATGTGGACTGCCTAACTTAGCACCCACTTAAACAATGTATCAAATTCCAGGCTCTCCAAGTAGAATAAATCTACTATACAGGGGGGAAAGAAAGCCTTAAAACAACAAACCAAATTCAAATTCTTGTTTCCAAGAAAAAAAATTGAAAGACTCACGGGGTTTTTTGGGCATCAAGTAATTCATATAAAACACAATTTTGATGAGCTAAGTGTAAATGAATCAGAAACACATGGATTACATTTCTTTTAAATATGGGTTTACAAATTAAGGGAAAAAGTGGTTGGTGAGACTTTGGTTTTACCCAAACCCTAAATGTTTAAAAAATAGCTTGAGACGTCCTATGGACCCAAACGCGGCTGTGTTCAACCGCGCCTGCTGTAAACTGTTGTGCAAGCTGACAGTTTGGGCTTTTATGCCAACCGTGGGACTTTCTGAAGCCTTCTTTTTCCCAAAAGCATCTATTAATTTTTCTTTTTTTAAATACAATGTTTCCCCCTGTGGAACTACAATCAGAATTTAATTTAGAGAGAGGGGGAGAGAGACAGAAACATTGATGAGAGAGAACATCGATTGGCTGCCTCCTGCATGCCCCCACTGGGGATCGGGCCCACAACCTGGGCATGTGCCCTGACTGGGAATCAAACTGGCAGCCTCTTTGTGCATGGGTCAACGCTCAACTACTGAGCCACACCAGCTTGACTATTAATTTTTCTTATGTAATTAGGTGTTTCTGCTGTTTATCTTGGAGAAAATTGGATTTATGTGTGTGGAGAGAGAGAGAGAAAGAATAATCAGGCCTTCGGTTCCCCATGAAAGACTACAGATCTGGACTTATTTTATATATATTCTATTTAATTATTGACTTTGTAGTTCCCTGAGGGCTGAATTAGGTTATTCAGAGGGTTAACATATACATCTCTGGAAACTTGAGTTTCTTGGACCACTTGCTCACAAGCGAGTTAGTAGCAGCCTTGCAGGTGGCCTATCCCAGACGGGCCGATTTGTCACTTTGTGCTGCACAGCGGCAAAGACCAGCCTCCAACACCGAATGGAGACTACTTCGTTTGCTAGAGAACAACATGCTATTCTGTGACAGTGTAAACTCGCAGGCATCCCTGAGACTATTTCTGTGTAACGTGGAATTTAACTTATCCACGAATGTCTCAGGATAACCTAATATCTTGGACCTAAAAACCTAATATGGAGAGAATCTTCTCTTTCACATATCTGTCCTGCTTTAGTCTTGCCATCTCAAAACGTAAAATGTGGATAATTCTAGGACCCCCTCATACTCCTGTTGTAAGGATTAACTCTTTAATTCTGGAGAGGCTCAGCATGGTGCATGGCACATGGTCGTTGCACAGACGTGTTGATAAATTCGATGACCATTGTAAGAAGTACCCTGCCTCTCTCCTTTGGCGTCACTGGCGGGAGAGTCATAGAGAGTAAGGATAACATTTTCATGAGAAAATGTCTCAATTTAGGTGCCTGTCTGGCGTTGCCAACTAACTGCAAAATGACTACAAAGCATATGCTAATGTAAAGTGGCAGCAAAGACTGTTTCTTCCCGGATATGCTAAAAACTACAGGCACCCTCAATGGTGTCCAAACGAGAGAAATGTGAATGGTTTACCAAAAAACATCACAGAAACCTCTCACAGCTTCTGCCGCTGCCCTTTGCACCTGCCCCAGCAGTGGCTCCGCGGGGGCTCGATGGGAGGCAAATGCCAGGATAGGACCCTCGTGGAAGTTTCCTTGCCTTTTAGTCAGAGCTGAAAATCCAGGAATCCAGCCTTGGCATGTTATAATTCAACAAATTAGTAGTACTGATGGGCATGAGAGTGTAACTGGGAAGTGAACCTTAGATTGTGCATTTGTGTCTTTTTCTGCCCTTGTTTCTAAGCTATTTCGTTTATAAGGTAAAAAAAAAAGAAAAAGAAAAAGTGGGAGAACTGGGTTTTCCAAACTATGATTATAGAAGAAATCAGATGTGTCACTTCACAGCAGCGGTTTCCCTAAACCTTACACCGTAGGGCAGTACTCAAGGTCACCGTATATTTATTTCTCACTATTCCTTATTCAAATAAATTTATTTCTATCTCTTCGCATATGCTTTGGACTCCAAACTCATTCCATTTATCATTCCTTCAAAAACATAAATACTCGTTATATTATTATGTACACTTTTCATTGTGTATTAACTATTATGATATAATCTCAGACTAACCAATAAATACACACATAGGCTTTGCCTTGTGGTCCCTGGCCCGCCTCCCGCCTGGCATGAGGGATCCCACGTACTCTCTCCATGAGAATCCTGCAATTCTTCAAAGTGAAAGTTTACCTCTCCTGGGAGACTGTCCCTAATCTCTCCTGGCTGGATTTTATATTTTCCCCTATTACATGTTTTCTTACTATGTTTATACCTTTATTATAATGCAAATCTGAATCTAGTATTTCCTCATTTAAAATCCTTAACATCCTCTCCATTGCTTTTCAGACTACGTGGATTCTGATTTCTTAAGCTCTATCCTCTGACTTTACCCGATCTTTGAGCACAGATCTATGCCTCAGCTAACTAATATGTAGTATATTGTTTCTGAGTCTTTGAATATGCTGGTTTTTCTGGCTGAAAACCCCTGTTCTTCACCCCCATGTCCCACTTCACCTTCAGATCTTCAGTAGATATAACTTCCTCTGTGGAACTGTTTCTAGCACTTCCCACATCAGAACATTTAATCACATGCATAACAGTTGCCTATTTATTTGACATTCTCACTGAGACCAAACTCCTTAAGGATAAAGGTGGGGTCTGTGTTGTTTATGGCTGTATTCTCATTGTAAATTACTAAATATTTACTGAATGGATTATAGAATTTATCACGCCTTGGGTTTTTGACTCTTACTACAAAGCTCTGTGAGTATAAAATTTTTTTTTATTTTGTTTTTCTCTTTTCTGTGTTCCTGGCCTCTAGTAACCTGGAGATGGTTAACTCGGTCCCTTTCTTCTTTCATTTGGCCAAATACTTTGAAGGGAGAGAAAGCAACTTGGAGATAGGGCCTTGGTCTTAGGAGGCAGGAAGCGTTTGATCAGTTGTTGAGTGTATGAGTATGTCTGAGAATACAGAAGGGATGAACAGATGAATATTGAAGCAGAGTTAATGTTCAGTAACAGCCTTGCCTTTCTTTAAGGCCATTTCAATGTGATACAAGTGGGAAACACATTTTCAATTTTCTGAAAAAACATCCCCCATCCTGGCATGCTTTCTTTTGAAAGCCAAATCTTAAGTTATGAAACTCTATGCTGGTTTTTAAAACTGCTTTTGCAATTCTCTTATCTCTAACATCAGTTTTGATTTGAGTTGATTAGAGTTCTGTTCACCATTCCGGCCCCTCAGGGCTGCAGAACAAGACTGGTTTCTTTTGATTCAAATGCCCATGTTGGTGGTGGTTCTAAACATTCCCGGGTTGGGCAGGGCTAGTTAGCTGAGGTGCCGTGCATTCCAACTGCCCAGCAGCTGGTAAATCAAGGTTTTGGTTTTTTTCCCCCCTGAAGCACTTTGCAGGTATAGAATTAACGTCTCTTACAGCCAGGATACCCTTGTTGCTGTCACATAAGTAGGCACAGAGAAAAGGGTAGTAAATAGAAATGGAAAATAATGAACTCCCTCTGTTGGGCCAACAGGTACACGCAGTAGACAGGAGAAAGTTTTACCGCATCCACCAGCATCTGCTGCTGCAGGAGAAGCTGCTGTTTCTGCTCCATGATCTGCCTCTGCAGACTCTGTTTCTTCCCCATCAATTGCTGATTCAACAGGGATTGCTGGGAGTTCATGTAACCACTTCCAGTGTTTGGATTTGAGCAGGGGTTGGGACTTGGACTGGGGCCTGTGTTCTGGCCTACCACAGAGTGTTGATCCTAAAGACGAGAAAGCGGGGGAAAAGCTACTGTGAATTAAAAGAAGAAAAATGTATCACAAAGATCATAAGCTTAGATTCCGAACATTTTTCATCTTGTTAATGGGTTGGAGATCAGAGAATTGCTTTTTAAGTGTAGAAGCAATAATTGCATATCACAGCAACCAAAGCAGCTGGGTTAATGACATTAGGGCGCTGGAAAAGCTCCCGCAGGACTCTGATGGTGGAGCGTCCACATTCCAGAAGGCGTTTATGGAACCTCAAAGAAAACTATAAAAACATATGGCAAACTTCTCAATTGCTCAGGAACAAACACATCATAAAATAACAAGTTCTTCCTTTCCCCTAAAGTTAGCACATATCAATGCTGATCCTGCAGTGAAAATTAGGTTTCAATTCATACATTTAAAAGTTGAAGAAGCATTTTGACCAGCAGAGGCCTAGCTTTCTGTGATAAGGCAGGAAAGCCAGTGACTTCTGTTTTACAAACACTGGCAAACTTGAAAAGGACTTCATTTCTTGGATACTTGTTCATTTTGTTTTCTGGTCAGTTGTTCAGAAATCTCAGTGCTTAACCAATAAGAGGGCAGCACCCTACCAACTGACAATGAGAAAGTATTGATTAAAAACTCACATTATAGCCCTGGCTGATTTGGCTCAGCGATTAGAGCGTGGGCCTGGGGACCAATGAGTCGTGAGTTCAATTCCAGTCAAGGGCATGCAGTTCATCCCTGACCTGGTCAAGTCGTGTGGGAGGCAACCAGTAGATGTGTCTCTCTCACATCGATGTTTCTTTCTCTTCTTCTCTCCCTCCCTCCCCCCACTTCTTCCCACTCTATCTGATGATAAATAGAAAAGAAAAAAGAAAAAAAGAAAAACACATTATATATTGAATGATATTGGGTATTAGTGAATCGCCATTCTAATTTGAGGCCTCTGCCAATCTTTGGGCATTGACAGGTCAGGACCCTGCAGTCCAGAAAGCTAAACCTAGGCAAATATGTTTATTAATTCCCAACGATGTGTTTAGAATCAAACTGTACACTGTCAGGAGTTACTTGAAACCACTGTCCTCACCTTGGAGAATTCCTCATCTAATTAAAGAAGAAATTACATACTTACATGTAAAAATACAAGCAAATACAGGATCAAATTATAGATTATATGACACAAGTACTAAGTCAAAGATGCCCTGGCCTTGCTCTAGAAATTCGGGGGCTGAAGATCAGGTATCTGCTCAGGTGATTCTAATGCTTGTTGGCCCAGGGAATGCTCATTGAGAAACACTGGATATATAGGGGTAATAAAATCCAACTCTCATTCCCCAACTGAACTTTGTGAGGTTGTGAGAGATTAAATAGATAAAGCACTGCCCTGACCAGTATGGTTCAGTTGGTTGGGCGTCATCCTGTGCACCAAAAGTTTGCCAGTTTGATTCCCGGTCAGCGTCAGGGCATACACCTGGGTTGCAGGTTCGATCCCCAGTAGAGGGGCATTCAAGAGGCAGCCTATGGATGTTTCTCTCTCTCTTTCCCTATCCCTCTCTCTCTCTAAAATCAGTAAAAAAGAAAGAAAGAAAGAAAGAAAGAAAAGAAAGAAAGAAAGAAAGAAAGAAAGGAAGGAAGGAAGGAAGGAAGGAGGAAGGAAGGAAGGAAGGAAGGAAGGAAGGAAGGAAGGAAGGAAGGAAGGAAGGGCAACTCTCATGATGCCTGACAAGTAGTAGTAGTGGTAGGTACTCAATTTGTAGACAGTCTCTTCCCTTTTATCTCCTTCTCTTTCTTTAGTGACTTCCTAAGTTTCAAAAAAGCCTGGGGATGTAGGAAGCATGCATGGCCTTGCTTCAGTAATCCCCGGACTACAGAGCTCACCAACTGTCTTGAAAGCAAAGGAATAAAAAATAATCTTAAAGTTGACCATGCATTGAGACTTATTACAGGCCAGTCACTGCTCAGCACTTCACTTGAGTTCTCTCGTTTATTCCTCCCAACGAAACAATGAACAAGGCCTACTGTTACCATGCCAATTTTGTAGATGCAAAACCTCAGCTCAGAGAGATCACAGAGCTGTAAGTGGTGGAGGAGGATTTGAAGCCAGGTCTGTCTGACTCCAGAACTCCAGTCCTCAATCACTATGCTCTATTGTTTCGCAGTGGAGATCAGAAGCATTGAGGAGAAAGATGTTCATACTTTAAACCTGCACCAACCCATCTGTCCATGAAGCAAACATTTATTGAGCACTCCCCCTCAGGGGTGAGCCCCTCAATCAGACATGCAGAAGGAAGTGTGTTGGGGAGAAGGAAAAGGTTGTGGGGACTGGAGGGTAGGGTTAGTCCTCCTCACCAGTTAATTAAAAAAATTAAAGCCATCTCCGAGCAGCTTAAAGAAACCATCCTCTAACACATCTGCACCCAATGCCCAGTCAGTTCTCTCAACTTTAAACCCATCCTGGCTATGTGGAAAGATTCCATCCCACATGTCCTACAAGCCAGAAGGGCTGTGGGCTGGGGCACAAGCCTGTGAGTGTCACTAACAGGATGGTAGTAGATGAAGATCTGTGGGTTGAGCGCTCTTGGAGGGCAAGCGAAGAAGGAAATACAGGGAAGATTGAATGTTGAACCTTCGATCTACCCAAGCTAATGAGAGGAAACCAGAGCCAGTGACAGGACGGAAAAGTGGGGGCCAGAGAAGTGTGAAGACAACCAGAGTAATGCTGGAGAAATCAAGGTGAGAGGATATACTGGAGGCCGTGGTTGGCCCTCCACTCTCCACTTTAACCTGAACGCAAACAGTCTGCTGTTTCCTATGATATAATTTGGAGTTCAGTGCAAGACTGTATGAAAAGAAAATTTTGTATTTTTAAAATATGGTTGACAAACATACGTAGAACAATTAAATTCACTTTTCTTTCAGCCTTCTTTGCACGGCCACCCCATAGACAAAGTCATGGGCTCTGGAGACAGGCCTGTCGTGATTCATATCTTACTAACTGTGTGATCTGGGAGAAGTTTATTCACCTTCAAAAGCCTCAATTTCCTGGTCTGTAAAATGGAAACAACAGTGTTGACTTCAGAGGGTCCCCATGAGAAGTAGGAGATAATGCAATGCCCAAAATATCTAGCACATAGTAAGCACTTAATTAACTTTAGCTGCTTGTAATTGTTAGTTATTTCAACACAAAGGAGCAACAGTCTGTTGGTCACAACAATTTGTTGTAAAGCAAGGGAGACAGGCTTAGCAGAAGGCAGTTCTACATGTCAACTCTATCAGAAATGCGGTGGTTTCAGTTATGTTATAGACCAAGAGCTATCTGTGGAGTTACCTCCATCCTCCTACCTGGAAAAGTCAGAAGATGAGTTGAATGTTATTCCCTGATGCTGTCTTTTGGAGTGTGCTCCCATCATTTCAGTGAAGGGCTCAGTCAGCACCCTGTTATTTTGTTCCTCATTGTGCTACTTTTTATTCCTTGACATCCAATTACTTATTAATAGAACACCCAAGATACATTTACTGAGTATTGTACCTTAATTCTCTCATTTATAAAGTGGAGGTAATTCTATTAATGACATAAAATTAGACCAGATGAAATTCAGGACAGTTCCAGGTACTTAGTAGGTGCTTCATACATTTTAGCAATTAATATTTTTCCTACTTACTTACTTTTGCATTACTTTAACTGTGACAGAGATGGCTTAGAAACAATGATCTCTGGGAAGGTCCCTATGTTGTAAATGTACTTGGATTGCAGGTGTGATGTGTTTGGTTCCCATCATGTTTCAAACACAGGCTCTTGTGCTCTCCAGTTGACCACATCCCTACTACCCCCTGTTTTATTATATCCACCTGTTTTCCTCATTTCTATTACTTGCTTGGCCCATGTAGGCATCTGAAGTTATAATATCTGGCTTATAGTTTACCTGGGAATCCACGACACACACATCACTCCCCCACATATGCACTCACTCAAAGTTATTAGAGTAAAAAACAACGCATAATGATTTCCATTAGGTGCTATGATACCTGCTAGTGCCTTTGGATTAACATCCAGGTCTCCTAATGCCTAGTCTAATTACTCATGCATCCATTTATCCATTATTCAATTTGATAAATTTTACTGAATATCTACTAGGTGCTAGGCAGTTTTCTATTTTTTGAAGATTAAAAATATGTATGAAGGGGGGAAATGAAGAGAAAGAAAAGAGCGCTAAATGTGGGCAGTGCTGGTGAACTTCACCAAAATAATTTCCAGTGAAATCTGAAAAACCACACTCCTCTAAGATTTATAGATCTGCATGCCAAGAAAACATAACCATATCTTTTTCTCTCTCAAATCAAACAGATAGACTGTGCTAAATTGTTTCATTCCTTTATAATATTAAAAGATAGAAAAATGAGAGATAAGCTCTCTTGTGGAATTTTGTAGAAAAATTGTAAACCTTGTAGCTTCTAGCCCTGGGGCCTTACCATGTACCCTACCGTACACATTCTTTTAATTCATGACAGAAATAATATTTGGCTGATGCTACATTTTTTTGCTCTTATGTTAGCTATGAAACACAAAACACCTCCTTATACAGTCTTGCTGTCATTGCCAAGATGTTGTGCAAACTGTAGTACATAAAATATTTTGAGAGAAAAATATGTTTCCATGTGTGGCTTTGGTTTCCATATTCAGCCTCCTCTTTGCCTTACACTCTGCCCATGTGGAACTTGACTTAATAGAATTCATCCGTTTCCCCCTCAAAACTCATTTTCTCCCCAGAGCATGGGAAGGCCATGGCGAAAATGGCACATCCTCAGCCCGTGCATGAAAGTGTGTGTGTGTGTGATTGTAAACGAATTAGGTATTTCCATTGATGGAGTGTTTTATATGGTAGAAAACCTAAATTTTATAGAGAAACTGAAGTTAAAGATCGATTTGGAAGCAAATAATAGGCACACACTTGTTCAAATCATGAACTTGAATGATCTTTCATTTTGCCTGTTTATTTTTCTGCTTCTACCA